TGGGTTAAATTGGTAGTGCGGGACTAACTTGGGTTAAAGTCAGAAAGKGGGATAACATTGGGTTAAAGTCAGTAGGGCGGGGCTAATGTTGGGTCAAAATCAGTAAGGTGGGGCTAACATTGGGTCAAAATCTAAAGTGGGACTATTGTTGGGTTAAAGTCAGTAGGGTGGGGCTAACGTTGGGTCAAAATCAGTAAGGCGGGGCATTTCATACACTATTTTAACACAATTTTCCATTTAAATTAGGCAACACTCATAAAACTTTAATCAATTTTCATAGATTTTGGCACGTTTGACCCTCTACASTTTCAAAGTCGAACCACTGGCTTGAGAACCGACTAATCTCTTCCAATAACGAGCTGCACGAGCCAAAAAAATCTGGTGCCAGTGATTACAGGAAGGGGTTTAACTTCTGTACTCACAGTTTCTCTAAAGTATGGGGTCACAGCAAGGATCAAAGTGACCCAAAGAACACACAGCAGCTGCCGAGTGGATGAAGTGAAGCAGAAAAACAAAGATTTAACTTCAATAAATCAGTTTTCCTAGAATCAAGTCGTTCAGTTCATCTGAGGGTTTGTTTATTTAAACTAAAGAGAAAAGAATATCTTCAACCTGTAAATATTTAGCCTAAAATGCCTTTTTTTGCATAATGTTCGTTTAACTTACAGCCTGTACATTTTTCATATGTAAAACCTGATGCCAATAAATCAGAAACATGCCTTCAGTCAATAAAATGTTTCATTACTCTGTAATACTCAGGAAGAACTAGCAGTTAAAGATCAAACTTCCACACTTTCTGACTCGACTGTGTTTGTTTTCAGGCAGCAGTCAAACAGAAACACGCCACCATCCCCTGAGCGGGTCGAAAGTTCATCCATGCAGAAGACAAACAGAAGGATTCAGACACTCTGTTTGTTTGAAAAGCAAAGTCATAAACTGTGAGGGTTTATCTGTGACGCAGAGAGGGGAAAGGTAACCTGGGTTTCCTCACTGTTGTTTACTGTCTGAAATATGTGCAGTTTATCCTCTTTGACCGCGAAGCTTTAAAACCTCTTTAATATTCAGGTGAACCAGAGAAAGTCTTGTTGAAATACAGAAAACGTGTCAGAAATTAAAACTCAACGTCTGAGCAGCTGCTGACTGTGTTCATGCTGATAACAACCGGACTCTGAGCTTATCTGGGTTTTTACAAGAACTATAAAAACATAAAGTGTTTTGYCAGTGACACGTGGAGCTTCTTTGGTTACAAAAACTAAAACTCTGGTGTTTAACGAGGAGGATAGGTATGGGCATCGGTTAGCAGGGTAAAGGTCAAAGGTCATGACTTGATTAGAAACAAACAACAAAACAAAAAATGTCCAAAAGTGTAGTTTTCTAAAGTTTTTCTCTTTATTCTGTTCTGCACTAATCTGACTCTTAGCGTCTCATAAATAATGCAGAAATGTAGATCTAATGTTTTGGGGAAGTGATTTCATTCCTATGGGAGTCCATCAGAAACAAACAAATATAAAAAAACACATTTCAGAATAATACTAATACAGGTTTTGTCTCGACTGAGTCAACGCCGTTTTTAAAATCCTCATCTAAAATTTCACAAAGAACAAAACAAAGAGAAAACCCATTATCTACTGCAGAAATACAGATGATACTGATCCGTGTCGCGTCAACAAACACCCACGGGAAACATAATGGAGCACTCAGTGTTGAGATCATTTCCCCCTCCCGTGTCCTCATGGTAACGATGAGCCACAGTCAGAAAATTCTCCATCAACGAATATTTGTCTTTTCTTTCTCGCGTTGCAGGAAAACGGTCTAATGTTTCCTGTAAGATCTGGAGCGTTAGTCCTCTGAAAGGACAAGAGAGCAGGAGGTGGGAAGGCCTACCGACACGTGTCGGACGTCAGAACTTCAGGTCCTTCTCTCCCAGCGAGGAGAAACTCTCCTCGATGCKCCGGTCCGAAACCTCGGCCAGCACCGACGGGTTCCACTTGGGGTTCTGGTCTCTGTCGACCAGGACTGAAAACACACAGAAGAACCGGGACTTGGATGGTGTGAAATTTTAACAAAAGTGAATCATTTTAATGATGATTTTCTGTATTTTTTGGATCTTTCAGACACTAAATAAAAGCACTGCAGTGCAGTGACGTACCGGCTCGTACGCCCTCGTAGAAATCATGGCCTCTCTGCAACAAAACACAAACAATCCAATTATAAAGCACTCATCAAAAATACTACCAGAAATAACATGTTATCATAGTTTTCAAAATAAAATAGTAATTTTTCCAATTATTTCACTGACAGCAACTAACAAAACAAACCTTTTCAATTCATTTCTGATGAATTGGAGATTATTTAAAAATATCCATAAAAAAACGACTGATAAAAGTCAAAGAATTGGAAGAATTCTGCTTGTTTTTCCACTGAATTGACTTTTTTACGAGCATCAGTATCTTTTTTTAGGCCGTTACTCCTGAGAAGAGTTTTTACGAGGTCATTTAGCTGAAAAGTACCAAATCCAGCATCATATTTTTAAATGTGCTGACCTGGTTAAAAGAATAAAATGGTCCTCAGTTTGTAAAGGTTTTTCGAACTGTTGTGGTTTAAAGAAAGGTCTGATTATCAGTCTTGTGGAATGTTTCTACAAACACTTATTCACATTTTATTCTAAAATCAGCCCTCAGAACCAGGATATTACCAGTGATTTCATGAAGGTAAAGAGTTTAACTTGATGAAACAAATGTGTTGGTTTATTTCACCATGCAGGCCTGGCTCAGTCGGTACTCCATCACCAACACGTCCTGCAGGCTCATGGTTCCACCCAGCTGCAGCTGCTTGAAGGTCAACTTCAGGGACGTCGGAGACATTTTGGACAGAATCTAAAACCAGGAAGTTAGAGTCAGAAAGCGAGACAACCTTGGGCCAAAGCACCGAGATTAAAAATATTGTCAATAATTATCCAGTCAGCAATGAAATCAACAAGATCCATCCATCCATCCATCCATCCATTTTCTGTACACGCTTCTTCCTTTTCAGGGTYRCGTGGGTCACTGGTGCCCATATCCAGCAGTCACAGTGCGAGGGGCGGGGTACACCCTGGACAGGTCGCAAGTCCATCACAGGGCCACACATAGAGACAAACGAGACAAAAAACCATTCACTCTCTCACTCACACCTAGGGACAATTTAGAGTTATCAATTAACCTAACAGTCATGTTTTTGGTCTGTGGGAGGAAGCCGGAGTACCCGGAGAGAACCCACACATGCACGGAGAGAACATGCAAACTCTACCCAGAAAGGTCCCCGGACCGGGATTTGAACCGGTGACCTTCTTGCTGAGAGABATCAGCTCTACCAACTGAGCCACCGTGCCGCCCGAAATCAACAAGATTAACAACTAAAACATCAAACATAACCAGGATCAAAATATTCAGGCTTTCTGCTGCTTAGATGGATGATGGATGGATGGATGGATGAGAAGGATGGATGGATGGATGATGGATGGATGGATGATGGATGGATGGAGGATGGATGGATGATGACTGGATGGATGGATGGATGGATGATGGATGGATAATGGATGGATGGATGGATGATGGATGGATGATGATGGATGGATGATGGATGGATGGATGGATGATGGAAGGATGATGGATGGATGGATAGATTAATAGATGGTTGGATGATGGATGGATGGATGATGGAGGGATGGATGGAAGATGGATGTATGATTGATGGATGGATGGATGATTAATGGATGGATGATGGATGGATGATGAATGGATGGATGGATGATGGAGGGATGGATGATGGAGGGATAGATGGATGGAAGATGGATGGATGATTGATGGATGGATGATGGATGAATGATGAATGGATGATGGATGATGGATGGATGGATGATGGATGGATGATGGATGGATGGATGATGGATGAATGATGAATGGATGATGGATGGATGGATGATAACTCTTTGAATCTATTGTAACACTAAGATGATCTTAATGATCTTGAATAAGTTTTCAGGTTAGATTCACGTCTTCAATGATCTCAGATTTATTGTGAAAATTTGACCCGTCTGATAAACACCAGAGACTATCTGCATTAAACTAATATTTGTCTTTAACAACAAACATCTTGGTTTATTTATCAAACACAGAAACTCTCAGCTCTTTTCTGCAAACATGAGAACAGATTTCTGCAGTTCCTCCAGTCGGAGCCTAAATGAACCGTGATGTGGTTCTGCTTCAGCTGAGCGTCTGGGACGTACCTCAGCTTGTTTGGTGGCAAACTCTGAACCGTCTGCCTTCAGGTTCTGCACGATCCCCTCCACACTGTCAGAGCTGAACAGCCTGATGGGCGGGAAAAGAAAAAAATGTAGAAAACATTTAGAAGATAGTTTCAGAGAAAATGTCCAAAACCACTCAAAATATGGCTAAATTCAGCTGAACTCTTCAAGAAACTAACAAGAAAAGTTGACTTTTCAGTTTGTTTTGGGAATAAAGCAATAAAATAATCCAACCTGTCGATGTCAGAAATGTGTTTGTCCAAAACAAAAGGTTTATCAGAGTCCAGGCTGCTCTGAGGACACAAACAGGAAACCAAATGTCAGTTTTTTTTCAGTTAAACTGTTTGAAACTCCAATTTTTAAATGAATACCTTTTTTAAGTCCATCTATGAATGATCTTACCACAAGACGGACCCAGTGGGGTTTTATATTTCACATTTTTTCCCCATTAAATGGTAAAAACAATCACGTACAGACGAGTTACCAMAGATCGACATGTTGTGATGTCTGACCTGGTTCTGGAAAACCTCCAGCAGTTTGGAGACGTCTGCGTCTTTGGGACACTTCAGGTCCACCAGCTCCTTCTCCAGGTCTGGGATCTGTTGAGGGCGGAGCTTGTTAAATGTAAATAAAATCAGATTTACTTTAGTTTAAACACTGCGGGGAGCTGGTCCAAAGTGACTTGTGTCCACCAGGAGCCAGCACCTGATTCTGGACCAATCGGTTCATGCTGAGAGCGAGTGGACTGCTGATTCAGCGTCTGGCTATGTTGCCCCCCCCCCCAGCAATAAAACCCCCCAACCTGGTCTGACGCACCTTCTTAGACTCAACGAAGTGAGTGGCGACCCCAGCTCTCTGTACGTCCCGCCCCTTCAACCGGAAACCCGTCAAAGCCAGAAACAGCCCCAGCTTCCCCCGGAGCCTCGGCAGGAAGTAGCCACCTCCCACGTCGGGGAAAAGCCCTGCCAAAATAAAACACAGCTTTTAAAAATCGCAGCCTGTTTTACCTGTAAAACTGTATTCTTGGCCGTGCACGTTAATTTTTATTGCTACCTGCTTTGGAACAAATGGAAATAAACAACAATGATAAAATTTTAGCTGTTTTTACTCGACATCAGTCTGGTTTCTCTTGTGTTTTAATAGCCTTTGTGGCGCGATGCTATGGGGGGGGTTGGTGAAGAGAAGTACGAGGGATTAGACGGAGCTGACCTGATTCATGTAATAAAATAAATGTGGAGGATTAGAGCTTTTTGTTCAGGAGGCTGGTGGGACCTGGTCAGACCTGGTAATCCTGTCGATGGGGTTGGTTTGCAACAAGAGGCAGGAAGAGAGAAAGAGATTAACAGATTTATGTAMATATGGAAGAGGACGTGATGAACTGGGAAACATCAACTTTTCTCCGTCGTCGACATTCTGTGAGGATCTGGTGGATTTGTTGTTGCGCCACACGTTAAAACTCTAACTGGACTTAGAGCTGTGTCCAGGGTCGTCTCCCGGCCTCAGTCCTCGCCCTGCACGAATCAGTTACTGCTTCATTTCCTCTCGCCGGCCTGCGAGGAAATCCCACACAACAATCAGAGCGCATCGACAGAAGGCCGCTCCTTCCTCGCCGCGCTCATTTCCTGTCCGCCGACAACGTAATCTTCGTCCTAAACTCGTTAGCGACCCTCACACATCTCGACCCGCCCACRCCAAAGAACCGGACCATCAGCAGCTGTAGATCTTGTGGAGACCCTGAGCTGACCCTCTGGATCCAAAGCTAAAATCTAATTTTCAGCTAAACGTGTTCTTTTTGGTGTTTTTCACCATCAAAAGGAACAAATAGTTTCTTTGTGACAGGCTGCTGGCAACAAATCAGTTTATTTAATTTAAATCTATTATTTTATGACAGTTTGTCACACAATACTGGTTTGTCCCCTGAATTCAGAATCCTCTTCATGCCTGAATGATTCAGCTGTTAAACTACAAAACACTCCAAAAACTGGAGTAAAAAGCAGCAAAACGTCATCCCCACCACAAAAATGAATCTATCTGATATTGTCACTGACGTCTGTGTTTCTGCAGACTGGTTTGTTTTGTATAATCAGCTGTGGTTTCTTGGCTCTTAGAGATTTGTTACTAATCTCCTCAGCGCCTCAGGATGAAGCCATCTGTCTGAGAGTGTGAATTAGCTGCAGATTCTCTGCACTCAAGGAACTTCCTCTAAAAAGAGCAACTACAGTCATTTCCTGGTGATTAAAGCAAGACAGCGTATAAAAAAAACAATCCACATAAACAAAACTTCTGCTCATTTTACATTGTTAAGTCTACTTATGTTTGGGATTATTAAACCAATGCTCAGCTCTTCACTGGTTGATAAAAACCCTGATCTGTGCGTCTGAACTGATCAAATCTCAAAATGAAAAAATTCTCAGTTCTGCTTGAACATAAAAAACAACTTTAACTCTGAGTTTTACAAATATAAAGCTAAACCCAGGTGTGGTGAGAGCATTGATATATATTACTGGATTGGGCGTGGCTAGCGCGTTGCTAGCTACATGGACGTGCACGCACTGGAGCTCAGTTATACAATGAGGAGCCTCAACACAATGAATGGAGGTCAATGGACTGTGAGGTGTCATCCTGAAGAAAAACTCTTATAACTTTATTATTTCTTGCTCAATTTTTACAAACTATGGTTCAAAATAAAGCTGAGGA